TAGGAGTGTATCTTAATGAGAAAGTGTTTTTGTTGTTAAAGTGGAACTGCTGACCTGCTACATTCACTCGATGACAATTTTTTTTTCAGCTTTAGCATTTCAGTTTGTCAAGCCAACTTGAACACACAGACCATAAGCAGAATACCTTCTTCTAAAAAGCTCACCAGCGACACTAAATACAAACAGCTTTGAGGGGGAAAAGCCCCAAAACAAACCAAACATACCACACAACGGATTTTTCATAGATTTTAGGGCAAAGCAGGACTACTATGATCTTCCAATCTGACCCAGGAATTCTACTCAAAGTTCATAAACCGTGTTTAAATCAAATCATACCTTTTAAAGTGACATCCAGGCTTCGGCGGCTCTTTCCCAGCTTCTGCTTCCATGCCACCTGCGGGACGATATTTTTATAGTGTCTTTTCCGCAAAAGGGACAGCAGAGGGGTTTTGTTTTTTTAAAAAAAGTACAGCCCTTCTTCCCTGGCGCGGCAACGGCCACCCTGCTGCTGGGAAACCCACCTCGAGCAGATGTTTTAGCAGCTGCTTTTCAATCTGGCAATCGTCTAGCAGCAAGTGCATTGTTTTTTAAGTGGTTTTGCTCGCAAGCGACACAGCAGCAATGTCAATGGGGTTATATCAACTGGATAAGCCGCACAAAGAAGAAAACTAGATTGGAGAGGGAAATTTCTCAGAAGGGCGGGCAAGTGCAGGAATCTAAATCCCACACACCAGGAGGAATTTAGGACTTAGCCAAAGCATGACAACAAGATCTGTGATATCATTATTTATTTTTTAACTGTCTAGATGGGATAATAAAAAGATCTCACAATGTCATACTAGGTAGACGCGCAAATCTGTAAAGGAATGCTTAGATCAACAGATTCGGCCTCTCCAGAGCAAGAAGCTGTGGACAAAGCCAATAATCTAACTTTGAAGCTGGCCTGCTTTGAGCAGAAGGTTGGACTAGATGACTTCCATAGATTCCACCTTGAAGCTCCCATCTTAAAACCAGACTGATGCTGTTAGTGTTTAGACTTCTCTTTTTTTTTTCAGTCCCTCCTGTCTTATTGCTCTGATGCTAGAAGAGTGTTTCTGGCTTTCCTGTCTGCTCTATCCCATTTGCATGCCCAGCTTACAGCCATTTGTTTTCATGTCAAGATTATCCTTTTACTTAAATAATCCTTTCCTCTTCCCTGGTATTTTCTCTCTAAATACATCAATAAGATAATCATATCTCCTTTCAGGCTTCATTGTAACAGACAAGTAAGCCACTCTCTCTTCATAATACGAACTTTGTATTTGTGGTATCTTCCCGGCAGCCTTTTTTGCCCCATCCCAATTTGAATTCCTCTCTCTCGTTTGACAGCCTCATTATTGCTCTTGGACCAACTTTTCTACATGCTTTTTCACAGCTTCATGGTGGCTCATCACTATCCTTTATCAACTACTAAATCCCAGCTTCCTTTCCTCACTAATTTCCAAGAAGTAAAACACTCTTAGCATCCTTCACAAATTTCTCCTCGCCCCTAAATTCACAGCCTTGCACTTTCTGCTGCTACATTTAATCTCATTTCTATTTCTCACTCTTCAAAGGCATCAATTCTCTAAGATATTCTAGTTCCCTCGTATTATTGAAGCCTCCCACTTCTGTTCATCACCAAATTTAATTATCACGCTCGCTTTTTGTGCCAAGGTCATTATAAAAAGGCTTTAGTGAGATTACTCTTGGGACCAGAACTGGAGAAATTCAGTATTAATTCCCCGCTGCACCAGCCCTGATGTCAAAACACTCCATCATCACCTTACCATTTGGTATTTTTGTCTGTCTTCCAGTTCTTACATGTTTGCACATGAAATTCTCCATTGAAGTCCTGTTAAACGAGACCGATTGCATGTCCTTCGTGTAGAAACCTGGTTTACTTAAGTCCAAACGATATTAGACTGGCTAGTCACAGCTTCTGACAGCGAGCCAGGAGTTCCCAGCAGATGGTAGGAGAGCCACCCTGGTAAAACTCACTCTTTCCATCTCCAACTGCCCAGGACGTCTGGATTTCTCTGAAGTTTCTCCCCCCCCCTTCGTCAAATTGAATGATTTGTCCTTAACAGTTCAGCACTTCACCCACCTAAACCAGCAATTTTTATCTGCCGATTTGTGGTTCTATTCTCATTTTACAGACATTATCACAACATTATCTATATGCAAGTGCCATTAGTCCTTTTTTTGGATCACTGTAGACCCCCCTCGCCTTCTACCAAAATAGGTGCCCCTATTTTGTATAACTTGAGAAAAAGTAATTCCTTTTTCACCTTTAATACTTAATGCTATACTAGTTTTGTGCATAAGAATCAGGTTATTTGTTTTACCAATAACATTATGGTACAAACTGATATTCTGTGGTTTTCCACCCAGATTGTCCACATCCTTTCAAAGCCGCGGCTTTCCAGAAGATAAGCTTCATTCCTGTAAACAGCAACTACAAGACATACTTAATTCTTCAACTTAAAGCTATTCAGATTGTTTGAGGCCATTTAATGTAAGATCATCAGTGAAGATATTCACCGAGACTCTCCAGGAGCTACTATGTTTATAGTTAGCCCATTTGTTTTAAAGGAACTTTATAGAGGCCTAATTGTTTAATGCCGTCACGCAGCATGAAGTAAGAAAAGGAAATGTAATCCCTATTTTAGGGATTAAAGAGCACGGCACAGAGAGCCAGTGACTTGTTAAAAGTTACACGGGAAGTCTGGAGCAGACCTTTGGGATTGTAACTCCTGGCATCTTTTCCCAGTCTCTTAATCACTATGCCATCATATTTTCTATTTTGGTAGTATTTCCATTTTCTGAAGCATACCTGTCTGACTAAAAGAGCCTCTTCTCCTCGCTATCAGATGTACTATTTCTTCTTTCCTTCCTGTTTAGGTAGACACATCCTTCCTGGGGAGCTGAGCAGTCTCCAGGCTGAGCCTTGTCCCATGCCAAAACTTCCTTATTCTACATCTCAGACTCCGCAGCCAGAGACACTGAACAGGAGCAGTGAGGAGAAATAAAAATTGAAGGGGCGGAGGAGGAGAAACCCTGTAAATCTTCAAAGGATGCATGAAAGCGTTCTGCACTCTTTTCTGCAGATCTGAGAGAAGAGTAATCTCACCGATTCCAGGCAGTTCTGATTCTGCTAACGTTTTCTCGTCGTGTTCTCAGCTTTGAAAACAAAGTTAATGGAAAACTAACATCATTATCCAACTTCAGGACAGCGTGGCAGAATATATATCGGCCAAACCTTACCTCACCTCCAGCAGAATACATCAACCATGTGAAACTCCTTAAAAGCATGCCTGGAGCTCTCTTTTCCCAGCCCCTGAAGAGCAGCTGCGTACCTGTCCTAGTCTGCTGCTCACGCTGTGCCTGTCCTACTGCTGACAGCACTCCAGTAGAGGGGGCTCTGAAACTGTCTGGTTAAAAAATAGGAACCATTCTGCTTGTGGGGTGGACAAAACTAGAAAGAAGGAAGAGGAGGAAGGATGTTAAAAATATCATAAGCTTTTAGATCATTACTTGCTTCTGAGCTGGCAGTCTGGACTGTTTATAGAGCAGTACTAACGAAAAAGCACAAGATTAAATGCTTGTTACAGCGTCAGGGCTTCAAATCACTGAGAGATAAACTTTTCTCGACACCTATGGGTCGTATATTCTGTTACCGTGGAGGATTTCTTCCAAGTATTTCAAGCCACTTACTGATCAGTGATTAATTATGTGCTTCTCACTTACAACTGCTATCAGAGAAGTGACTTTCCCAGGGTCACCGAGCAAGCAAGTCGGCCCTGCCAGATGTCAGCTGTTCCTTAATATTTACAAAAGGCAGAGAACCTCTCCTTGTCTCTTTTTCTACCCATATTCCTCTACAGGACTTTATGGCACTTGTTTTGCCACACTGACAGGCAATCCGTTTCTCATAGCATCTACCAGTTCCTGAGTTTTTGCACTAGCAGCTCCAGTTTGCAGAAGTCGCTTTCTTCCACCAGAGTGGAAGCTGAGAAAGTTTCTTTGGAGAATTCCAAAGCACAGATCCAAGGAAAAAAAAAATCTAGCAGGATGTAAATAATTTCTAGGGTAAAAGACAAACAATTCTTAGAAGGAAAACATCTTTTCCAAATACGGATTACTAGAACAAAGTCCATATATAGCTTAAAAACAGCGTAGCATCTTTACAGGCAACTCTTTCCACTGTGGTCATGAAGCTTAAAAAGCTTTTCTTTCAAAGCCAGTACACAAAGAATTAAAGAGGAATCCGCTGTTGTCAGACAACAGTTTAGTTGAACTAGAGTTAACCTAAATACTGAAGTCATCAGTCCTGCTCACCAAGGTCTAAGGTAAAGACAAATTTCCAAGTTCCGCCACCCTATTCCCCTCTAGGTCCTAGTTCCAGCAGCAACACCACCAGTGACTGAGCCTGCAAAGAAAACACCCTTTAACAGAGGTCAACTGTACACAGGGGAGACTTAGAAGCTAAGTGCCTAATTGCCTTGTCTTCAATTTGCCTGTATTCAAAAAGCCTTAGAGACCAATTATTTGAATTAAAAAAAAAAAAAAAGAAATCCCTCTTCCCCTCATCTTAAAAACCAAAAGCATGCAGGCAGATAATTACCATTTGTTGTGTAGGGAACAAGCGCTAACACCACTAGTATACAGGGGTCACGCAGGAGGTTTGTTTTAAGAAGGTGTACTTTAAAATTAACCAAGTTCTGTTGTGACTGGGTTCCTAACAATATAATTATTCGGAGTAACTTGCAACTTAGAATTGCTAGAATTATCAAGTTTGTTTGGGTATCGGTAGGATGAGAGATGAATACACTTCACCAGTTTTGTAGAGACAAGGTGAGGCAATCACCCTCCCTTTTACAGCAATAAACTTCACACAGGATACATGAAGCCTATTTGAAGTAGTTCCCTGCTCACCCCCACAGGCACCGGTTTTTAACTCACCACACAGTGAACTGCAGTCAATCTACAAATGTTCCATTTTTATTACAAAGTATGAAAGGCAGAAAATACTGTACCTAATACACAGGAGGCCAAAACTTAGAAAGAAGGTTAAAAAATCTGAATAAAACTACATAGGAAGCAGGAAATAGCATAAAAGGATGCAACATTCCACTTTCAAGCGATTTCAGAAAATTGCCTTAAAATTTACAGAGTTTCAACAATATGGTTCCATGACTCGGGTGTTAAAATCCATTGTAACAAAACCTTTTGTGTTTTCTCCATAAAAATAAAGGAATATAGGGACACTGCAGCTATCCATGTCAACAACATATGTCTGTTGAATAGCAGGATACTAGGATTCCTCTAGGACAGTATAGTAGCGAAGTTGCAAATCTCAATACGGAAGGTGGAGAAAAGAAGGACAGAAGTAAAACTACTATTGCTTTAACATATTTTAGTGAGAACAAGAAGTCAGGAATCTCATATGGATGTTTGTACAATCATGCTACAAAGATTACACCTTCAGGAAATTACCACAACGGGACTGTGAATGGGAAGAGCAGAAGGGAAAACACACATAAAAGTAAACATCTCCTACTTGACTATTGGTAACAAAAATGCTTCAGCGCAACAGATTTAAATTACATTTTACACTGCTAGCAACCCAAATTTAAAAAAAGGTTCCTTTTAAATAGTCGATTTCATAATTCATATTTACCAGGTTGTCAAAAAAAAGCAACACATCGCTTCTCAGCTCTGCTCTTTCATTCGCTGGTTCTTGCATTTCTGCCTTTGTTCAGATTTGACAGACCGATCCTCCTCTCCAACAGAGGAGACTTGAGAATCGCAAATCTTGCAAACAGGAAAGCAAACTCCAAGGGATGAGAGCTGGAACACGGGCTTACAGTTAGTCATGGCCACAGTATTTTTTCAGGAAATAGCTTATTTCTTCATTTTGTTAGATTTTCTGAAAAGATATAAACTTGATGGAAGCCACACAGATAATTTTTTTTTTTTTATTTTTATGACTATGGAAATCCTAGCTTGATGCCGAGTATCAGAGGTTGCACAAAAGGCCACCGGGATACCTGGCAGACAAAGTTATCATCTGAAATCAGGCAGCAGCAAGCAAGCCTCACAAGTGCCTTTGACTCTGGAGTCTGCCATGAATCGCTAGATGAGCATTCAGTGACTGGTATTTAGTTGCATTTTTAATTACTGTTTTTTAGTGCTGGTGAAAGGTGCTGATCGGAAGTTCTGGAGATCTCTTCCTAAAAAAAAGGAGTCGGGGGCATGCTAAACTCCTCTCAACATCCTTGAGAATGAGACAGTTCTGACTCTTCTCAGGTAAGCAGGGGGAAATACAGCTGCATCTCTAAGTAAGTATGAGAAAGTGCTCTTTAAGTGCCACATACAATTAATTCCCTGGATTCTCTACAAAGATCAAGAGAAATGGGAACATAGTTGACAGTACCTTGCCCATTCCAGGACTGATTTTGGACACCTCCTTTCAATGTCCGCTGTACAATAAATACAGGCCTGCTCTGGAATATTGGTCTGACAGTAGAAAGCAGGAAATATGTATCAGAGAGAACTTGTGTTAACTGAGAGGATAACACAGTGTGGGTTTGAGGTGGTAGGACCATTTCCCTAAACAGCAGTGGGAAGACTAAGCCCTTCCGTACTTTGATGGAACTGTAACTGTGCAATCTATTGAGCCAAGAGCTTACCCTTGCTGCCGTTCATCCTTTTCAGAATGTCCTGAAAGAGTTAAAACACCACTAACATAAGGAACTGACAAGTTCAAGAATTTAGGTTGTGTGAATTTACAGACAGCAGCTGCATTTTTTCTATCACAAAAATAAGTTATCCGAAGAATCCAGCTACATCTTTACACAACCAACCTGCCGCTACTGCCATCACGCTCAGACGGTAGAAAAGGCGATTCCCAAACACCGTCAAGTTCCTAAGCAAAGCAAAAGGGACTCTCTAGGTGACAAGCAGCACTACGTTACTTGGGTTGGCCTTGCAAGATCGTGTCAGTCTCAGAATACAGAGCTTCAGTTTAACATTAACAGTATTGTCAAGTGCTCACATTTTTGGTGTTCAGTAGAAACAGATGAGGGTGCACTAGATACTGACAACCATAGCCAGCTTCGGATTTCAGTGACTCTTGTATTTAACATTTTATACAAAACACAGACAAATGCCTACCATAAAAGGGCTGAGGAAAAGATGACTCTCCCCCTAATCTTACCAAAAATATACTTGTTAAAGTGCCATCTGCAAGAGAACAAAACAGACACACTCAGCTTTCTTCATTTACATTTAAAACAAGCACAAGAGCATCTGTGAATTCCAATATATCAGACTCCTCCCCTCACCTAGTCTCTGGCAGGCAGTGATCTACAGTCGAGCCTGATGCAGCTTTCTCATTGCAACACCAGGCAAAAAATAGATCTTTTTACTATTATCCAGAACATTCAGGAGAGTAATTACAGCGAAGTTTTGAAAGGATCATTAACTTTGACTTATGAGAGGCAATGCCTCCCCCGTTAAGTACATTTCAAGGTTCCATAAGGAACAACCTGTATTATCAGTCTCCTTTCATACCATTCTTTGAAACCACTGTGTTTTCTTTCTAAATAGATTGTCAAAGCACTCAAATCCTTGCCTTTTAAATCCCTGCACACAGAAGTACAATTCCCACAGATGCAACCTACCACAGCCCATTTCATTTAGACAATTAACAGTTGGCATACTCCACACTAATTCGACATCCAACTTGTTTTCTGTAGGTTTTCACCTCACTAATGAGTTTTACATGATCAAGATCTCCTAGTTGAGAGCCAATATACTAGCAACAGGTTGTCCACATAATAGAAGGAATCTATGGAAAGCTTGGTTTAAACAGAACGTAACCACCAAACAATAGCTTAGTATCTTGAATTAATTGACAGGAGAAGTGATACAGAACTACTTAAGTCAGAGAAAAATATTTATGTTCCAGAATCAGTCTTGACTGTACCAACAATAGCATGTGATTTTTCTGTTTTGCTAACCTCACTTATGCTCAGACTTCTCCCTTAACGTCACTTTATACTCAAGGGATAGGAGGCATTTGAAAGCAGTTGCTCTGCATCCTCTGCTTGTGCACTAAGCACAAAATAATTGAGATCCAATATCAAAGTATTTATTTTCATAAACTTTGGAAAAAATAATGCTTCTGGGGGCTTTACACCCAACATAACTGAATGTTAAGCAGGTGAAATATGATAAACTACATCTTCTGATTCACAGGCTACAGTGACAAGTCTCAGGGTTTTATTTTATCTTGCAAATAAACTTGAACCAGCAAGTAGACAGTTAGCTCCCTGCCACTGTGTCAGCAGGTGCTGGCAAAAGGGCACCAAAGTCTCTCACTTCCTTCTCTATATGGAAGTGCCATTTGCACTACAGAACATCTCACCCATGAGGATTTTCATGTCTTTTCAGTCATTAACCTTTCAAGTGACTTCTTTGAAAAGAAGCTATTTTAAGTAGCATTTCCCTGTTCCAAAACAGCCTCTAGTGATTTCAAATGTAATTTCATATGAAGAATGACAATGGATTATGCCCAAAGCAATATGCTGTAGATCCAGAAGGTACCCCAACTGGCTAAACAAACAGGATATAGGCTTTATTTGGAATCCACTGGAGCCTGCAAGATTCCTTCACTTGCCTTTGACGAGTTTGGAATGAGCACCCAATTCCACAAATGAACATCAAGCAGTTTTATGGATGGAAGGACCGACACTGGATTCTCTTCAGGTTCATTATAGGACTGTTTTCCAACAGTAGCAAAAGCTACCTGGCTATTCAGGCTATTAGCCCCTTTATACATGCTCTCTTCTCATCATCTTAGTGTAAAAGGCTGTATTCCTCTAGGAATAAACTGCATCTGCCATTTAGTATAGCCTATAGAGTCTTTTAGTGACTTCACTTTCAACTAAATTATCTTATGTCTTTTTTAAAGCACAATTCTACAGTTGCAAAAGATGCATTTTTAAGCTAAGCAACAGATACATTCATCTTTTACTCATGCCATCTATACAAGAATGAGACTTTGAAGCATAAAAGGGACTACAGAAAGTACTAATATTACAGGTAGTTCCCTCTTAGTAGCACAGCATATTATGCCTGCCGTTTGTAATTAAACAGTAAATGACAAGCCTGTGTACATATTTTTATGAGTATCTAAAGCTGTGAATGCCGTTATAGGCTTCTGCTAAGAAAATCCTAATTTTCACTTCATTCTGCATAAGTATTTTCCAGTTTAAGATGAAGTGCTATTGTAAAAAGTGATAACCTAATCGTTTGGCTAACACTGTTCTGACATCTAGGACAAATCCGTCTGTGGAACACACTACCCTCAGCACTGCTGCTAATAAGACAAACTGACCTTCAAGTCAAATCAAGCTTTCTGTCAAAAGTCCCACAACTGAACACAGAATGTCATTGACAAAACATGAGCTTGAACTGTGTTAGAGTCTTAGTTCTCCGATATTAAAAAGGGTGATGGAATAAAGCTGTCCCTAATGAATTCCTATCAAACTCACAAGACAATGCTTTTCTGAGCTCCATGTTGAGAAGCAGTCTGTAGAAGAATATTTCTGTATGTCCAGAATGACAAAACTTTTCAAATTCTGTTCTGTATTTGACAGCGCTTTCAGCGTCAGCTTCACTGTTTCACAGCAATCACTTTTCCCAACTTGCCTTTCCTGCATAAACTGACAAGATTCAAGTTTGCCAGTGTCCTACAATTTATAATGCTGCCTCCAGCTGCAGGTGAATACTCATTAGGTGGAAAGACAATTTTGATAGTTTCTGACACTTACATCAAAACTCAGCTGGTACACCCTTACAGACCAGCTATGGTTGTCATGTCTTCATTGGGAGAGTACTGTGGAGCATTCATCCGAGTAGCTATGTTATCAACGAAGATTTTTACCTTGCCTAATCCACTCAGCTTTGATTGAAAAGTATTACTGTAGAGCGACCCACTATTCAAAACAGAAACAGAAGCCCTTGGGCACATCCCCAAAAGATATGAGGATGACAAGTGCCAAACCTTAGCCTCAGTGGCACGGTATCTTTCCTTTCAAATCCCATCTTTGTGTATTGCATTAGGGAATAACTTCTTTCAGAGAAACAGCTTTCATTTGGAGAGTGGACCAGCTTTTCCGACTCATCTCGCTCATTCAACAAGACCTGACAGTACAAAGCAAATACACTTCGGAAAAAAGATTGCTTTGCACTCCTTTCAAGAACTCCCAGGAACACAGGCCAAACGCAAAGAAGCTCCAAGGTACAGGCTAACCACAAAATCTTGCTCATATTATTTGCCAATCAAGCAAGCTACAAAGTGTGAAACCATTTTATTTTGGTTTAGATAGTAAGTCTTCCGAGGGGAAGTCATTTGATTGGAAGTGTCAATCCCAAGTCCATTACAAATCACATTTTTTCAGGAGTCGTTTACCTCCTGGGAGCTTAAGTCATGCATGTATCTTCTTCCTGAAACCTATTATCATTCTGTTAGCTAACACAACTGCAGGATACACGCAAATTCAGTTATAATTTAAAAATAAGGCCTACCATAGTAACAACTGCCTCTAACATCAAAAAAGTGTAAAGAAATTGTGCAACAAGTACTTGTACTTCACAGCACCAGAAAATTCTGCCCAGGTAACCAGGTATAGAGAGCCAAGGCAACAGCTAATTCTGGCAGGCCTTTACTGCCAGGGAGCCTACAGTGTTATTGTGATTGGGCACATGGAAGTGGATCACATATCAAAAGTAAGAATTAGGGAGAAAAACCTTACTCAATAGAAAGTTAGCCCAATATATAAAAACCATACAAATGTTTAAACAGTTTAGAGGCAGCAACAACAGGAATGATAAAGATTCCTGCCAAGGTGGCTGTTAACATCAGTGTCTTTTTCCCCACCTTGTTTTGTACTTGCATCTATTAAACTAGTTGGATGTGCTGCCTCAGCTGGCTGATAAACACATGGACATATGCAGCAACTTAAAAGCCTGCAAGCTTATTAATACAGTCAACAAACAAATATACAGAACTTTAACTGAGGCAGTGTCTTTTTCCACACCTTGTTTTGTACTTGCATCTATTAAACTAGTTGGATGTGCTGCCTCAGCTGGCTGATACACATGGACATATGCAGCAACTTAAAAGCCTGCAAGCTTATTAATACAGTCAACAAACAAATACAGAACACTTTAACTGAGGAAAAAAAAAAAACAACCAAAACCCAGAACGTCCAAGAGGCTCAGCACGTCTCTGCATTTTAGAGTCTTGGAGAGACAGGAGACACCTGCCATCGATTCTTGTAAAAGTTTCTTGTAACAGTAGATGCAAAGCAACAACAGATACTGGCCACTTGACTTGTGTTGTTCTTACTTTAGAGGGGAGGGGAAATTATACAGCCCTGCCTCAATGTGGCATGAAGCAGTAATGTTACACTCTCAAAATCTCCAGGCAGTTGTTGTAGCAGATAGCTATCCAGTCTGGCTGAGTTGATGCCCACTGTACATTGTTGATTTCTCCCTCTGCTGTATAGGCCAAGATAGGGTCCTCAATGGCACGAGGCATTTGCTGGATATCCCAGATGAGAGCCTGATGGTCATCCGCTGCAAATGGAAGAGAAAATCATAAGTAGAGTCAAGGTATAACGAGATCTCCATACATGACTACAGACAGGCGTATAGTCCAAGAAGCTATATAGGATATGGCTGTTGCAGTCCCAATGAGTATTCAAGCCAGAGATACAATGATACAACTATGCTCCAAAAAAATAAGCTTGGATCATTATACATTATCCAGGACAGAGTTGAAAAACAAATCATCAGTGGAACTCATCTCAGTTGAAAACATTTAAGAACTAGATTGCAAAAAAATAAGGAGCATTAAAATAATACAGCTTAGCCAAAGCAGATGCACAGTTTGGGCACTGGGCTCCAGTAGGTGTCTATTTCCATAACAATTTTAGAGAAGTCATTAGTAAAGGGCTTCTAAACTGCAGGTATTCTTTAGCAAAAGGCAGGCAGAGAACCGCATAAACTTTTGGAGAGAGAGGGTTTTGCAAATGCAGTGAAAGACTCAGAGATTCACCAACGCAGCTGGATAGGGATGGATCACACTTACCTGCTGTACAAATGTGGCAGGAAGAATGAGGTGCCCAAGCAATTCCATTTACACAGGCTCTGTGGTTGTTTAACCTGGCAACAGGAGTGCAGGGAACTCTGACATCTAGAATCACAACCTTCAGAAACAAAAAACAAACTAAATAACTTGCATTTTTTTATTCGTTTCTTCAGAAAACCAAGTATTTTGAGCCAAGGTTATAAATATAGCCCGTTCCTAAAGGATGCGGTTGGTAAGCAAACACTGCTCTCAAAGAATAGCTTCTAGCTGGTTAGTGTGTCTCAAAAGGAGTCAGACCTCACAGGGAGGGTTTGTGAGTTATGCAACAAGGGCAAACAAATTACGCTTCCCTGAAGTGGCACAAGTGACAAACTAAGATACACTGCCTTGTGCACCTAACTGAGAAAGAACAAGGTGACTAAAACACTTGCAGTTAAGATTTTATGTGAAAACTATTGCTCAACTGGCTCACAGACCCCTCTTAAAAACCAGCTGAAATATATATATGAGCCAGAGACCTTGAAGTAACTTTGACATTATAAACTTGTTTAAGTCCTACTGAAGCTAGTGCACTAAGAATTGGTCCTTAATCATAGTCCAGTTCAGGTACTGACACTGGCCCCTTACTTTAAAGAACTGACTACTAATTACTACCAAGCCACCTCCCAAAAAATCACAACCACTAGCACCTACAGAAGATAAGATGCCACCTTACCTCCATGCCATCCATGGCCATTGTAGCAAGATAGTTGGGATCCTGCTTATTCCAGCAGAGACGCAGCAATGGATGGTGCTGTGGGTCCTCATAAATTATGGTGCTGTGTTCCAGATGACGGAGATCGAACATCCTCACCGAGCCATCTGCACCAACTGAAGCGAACATATCTCTGCCACCACCTGCACGGCTAAATGCTATGTCATACACCTGCTCAGTAACAGGACAGAGAAAAACATAACCTTAGTTTTAGTGAGCACACTGCCTCCTAATTCGCAGTAAAATGGAATTTACATATGGATAGCAGACCTAGTTGCGACATATTCTGTCAAATACTTGATGTTCCTAGCAAGTTTTTAGTTATGACACTTGCCAAAAGGAGGGGGAAAAACTTAAAAGTGTTATGTCATTGTAAGATCATTCACTGAAACTAAACATATCAACTTTCCAGACACAGATTTTTTTAATATTAAATTTCTGAAAAGTAATATTATGTTAAGATGAAAGAATCTTGCAAGTTGTTTATTGCCTTTGATATGCAGTTGATTTCAATTCCAGTTTGACGTTTTACCTCATTTTTCTAAAATATGCTGGAGCATAATTTAGTAAAACAAGCATATTCTCAAGTCCAGATTCTATGACGAGTAAACAGAGTAGTTTTGATAGCCAATAGTATAGTTTTAGTTTGGTAGTCAAAACTGTATATCTTAATCTTAGATAAATTATATTTTTGGATCATTAGATTTTTCAAGAAAAAGGGGGAAAACAGAAAAGTTCTGCTCCTTTTCTACTGCTTAAAAAAATATGCAATGTAAACAATCAAAAAAAGCTGTCACCTCTTTGTCATGCGCAATAAGCTGGGTCTTCACGTGGCCAGAGACCAGATTTACTCTTCCCAGAACCTGTCCTGTCTCCAGACCCCAAATAGTGCAGGTTGTGTCAATACTAGAGGTACCTGAAACGAAAACACTTCTGTTAGCAAAATTAATATTCTCACAAATTATTTAATCACTTACTGGATTAATGTAATATCCTCCGACATCTACAGATCAAAATAGCTACAAGAACAGCATACAATTAAAATCAAGAATGGCAAACAGCTAACAGTCTACCACGCATTTAAATGACCCAAACCTTTTAGCTGCAGAAATAGCCTTCCACACAGGAATAAAGTGTAAATAGCTCATGTCTACTTCAATCTATTCAGAAGCCTGATGCAACGCTGAGATGAACTTTCCCATCCTGTAAGTCTCATGTGCATGTCAAAACCAAAATTCAACCGTAGTGTTGCGATAGCGTATTATTATTAACTGATTGTTTCTGTGGACTGAAGGTGGGGCTAGCAGTAAAGCTCTTGAGAGATGAGAGATGCAACACACAGAAAATAAATCATGTAGTAAATAATTACTAAGACACATTATCACTGTTAATCTCTGGGCAAATCCCCCTGACATAAATGGCTGCACTCTTCTGGGAAACAAATCTCTGCTGGATCAGTCATCTTGGATTCACAATTTGTCCCATTGGCTATAATTAAACCTTAAGCATTCAGCCCCCTCCTCCAACTGAATTAAGGGCTCCTGGCTTTACTCCTGCTGCTGAAATGGCTTCACAAAAGAAAAAGCCTGGTACATAGTTTTCTATCCACTCCAGAACACGCTGAAATAAGCGGAGTTCATTTACATCATCACTTAGCACTACAACAATAGCTCACCAGCCCTGAAGACTGAGGCTCCCTATCTGCAAATAAGGAACACCCCTAATCCCACCTAAGTGACCCATTCTGTACTGGACAGGGCACCTTTCAATGCAAAAAAAGTCTCCATGAGCTGCTCAATTTATTTGGTTTTTTTTTTATTTTTAACCTAAGACAATGGCAGTTTCTATAACGTAGAAGTCTGTCCACTGGTTAGTTATCAAATTAAGTGGTGACATGCAATGACACAGCAGTCAGTCAGAGCCCAGAATTCACCAGACTAAATTCAAAAGCGTGTCTTTTCCATGCTGAAAATGTAGCATTTTGTCAGTCTCACCTAGAAGGTAAGGATCCACTTCATTCCAGTCAAATGATGTTAGTGGAGCACAGAAATCAGAGTTCTTGTTATTGTTCAGCAAACACTCCAGCCGGGTCTCCGTTTCACCCACCTTTAGAAAAAGTGAAACACCTGACTTAAATAGCAACATCATATGACTTGTTCCACTTGCACTTCCAAAACATGAGGTGTTAATCCTGGGTTTCTCTCCTCTCAGCTTTACATCCTAAAGCTCTGGAAAACACAATCACCATCTCTATCTTCAATAAGGTGATTAAAACAGCAACTACCATCAAAATTCTGCTTCTCCTATAGTCTTCATATTTAGTTACATTATTGCAGTTAAGGAAACAAATATCAAGTGCTCTGACTTGATTTTATGTCTTAACGTCCACACTGTAGCAAGGGCAAGACACCCTGAAAGGAAAACACTTCAAAAAATCTGGTCTTGAGTGAAAATGAGATCAATGCGCAACACAGTATCATGGTTTATCTTTTTCTAGGGAGGATTTACTCACTCTCCACACTCGCAGATAGTCACCACTGGTTGCCAACAGGTCTGGATATACTCCCTTGGTGTCTGGGATCCACATAAGCTTTGTGGTAGGGTAGGGGTGATCAAAGGTGTTCCTGCAAATGAATTCTGAGCTCTCTTCATCCAAACCAACAAGCTGCACCTATAAGAAGCCATATTTAAAAGAAAGCATTTTATCAAAATACTCATTTATAATTACAGCATTAAGACTGAGCGTATTTTAGAAGGACACCTTCTGTAACCTCAAGGACAATATAAAAGGACCATCACGTCAATGGAATGAGAAATCGTTAAAGCTTTGCTTTCTAGCTGGGGCATGTAAGCAAAGCAAAGTATAAATAATCACCACAGTGCTTTACTTTGAAGAGATGATCTCAAATGAATCGAAATCCAATCCTAAAGGATTAAAGACCACCCTTCTCTTCCACATTGCAAAGCCTAGTTTAAATCACAGACTTAAACTGCACAAACATTATACCAAGTCATCTTTAACTGAACTGATGCTGACAATGTCATCTTCAGAGAGCAGGACAAGCTGTAGTTTGCATGACAACCACCCACAATTAAAGCCCGTATCATGGAGTTCTTGGCCATAACCCTGCAGATTGTGACAGATCATGTCAGCTAGCTATCAAGCTGTTTTCAGCATCACATTAACTAAAATATTCTGTCACAACTGCACAAAATTAAGGTACAGATTCACATCAGAGACAGAAAGTAAAACAGAATTCAAACTTAAAAAAAAAATTGGGAAGCTAAAATATTTAAATAATTATTCAAATGTTTTGTGTGAAAAGACCACAAAAGCAGGTCTGCTGAAAGATTCTAGGTAACTGAATTCCAAATTAGGTTTTTTTTGCACAGTAATGTGACAGTGGGAAGGGCTAACTTGCCCAGTTTGGAGTGATGCAAGACAGGGCAGACAAGAAACTATCTCCACATAGCTTGGTTATGACAACACCTGAAGTAATGCTTGAAGTCCCAGACATTATGCTATTAGAAAAATATTGACATGTCAGAAAGTGTTCATAGAACAATATGTTGCTGGGAGGATACGTTTAACCTACCAGTGACTACAAGACCTAAACAGGATGAAAGCCCCACTGTGTTAAATGCTGTTCAAACACAAACATTATGGGGGCAACTCACTACAATTAGTTTGTAAGCTGCTCATGGCAGGAGCTTCCTAGTACTTTCCACACAGCAGCTTCCTCCTGGAAACAGTGGCTTAATGGACTTTTTCCTAAGATGTTTATCTGGAAAAATCCTAAATATTCTGGGATAAGCAATTTGGTTAATAAACTACACATTTAAACTAGATCAGAAATCTACCATATTATTACCACATAACAAAAAACCAACAAATGCTTCAGTGGATCTTAAACTATAACATTAGCAGTTATGAGTCCATTTAGAGATGCTCTTAATAAATGCAAACCTTGCCCCCTGCCACAATGAGAAAAATCCATCCTTTTCACTCCATAACAAACCCTAAAAGACATAGCCAAGTATGCTTCTAAAAACTGTGTATTTGTCTGCCTTGCACTCTCTTTATTACAGCTACTCCTTATTATACTTTACACTCAAGTATGAATCAGTCAAGAACCCCCGTGTCTTCTGAAGTGATTGACAAATAGCTTTCTAACTCCTTTAGGGATCAGAAGTGCTAAGCGGATTTTACAAAGGAAGCAAATTGTCCTTGGTGATAGAAAATCTTGTGGCAAGGTCAGGATCAGAAGACAAATGACCTCTACTCATTTCTTCTCCTTTGCTTATGCTGTTTTCAGCTCAATATGACTGTATTAAGCCTACACAAAGCAATCAACATACTCATAACCAGAAGCAAATCTCAAACAGCAAAGGACTCACTTTCGTTGGTGTGAATTTATATATTCCTGCACCACATATTCATGTTTAACCCCTCCTCAGATCTGAAGAGAAAGCAATGACTGTGCAGCAACCCAGTATCTTTGTGATCTTTGACATTTTTAGGTGCAGGCCAGGTCAGAGAACAAAAATTACATTAGCAACACTGGAGCTCCTGGCAACTGCTGAAGATCAGGTGTCTGACACTGATTGTCAGACCTGGCAGCAGCCTGTGATCACTCTGAGCAGGAGGCATCGGTCTGCCCGGAGACAGGAGCAGAAGCAGAAAATACTGCTTGAGAAGCTCTATTCTTTCCTAGCTCAGCATATTCAAAGGTATCACTCTTCTCTTCGGTCTTGATCACATACAGTGATTACAGAATCCCTCTGTTCATCCTCTTGTGCAGGCTGAATACGAGGAGATGGAATGATGGAATTATTTTCAGGATGCTGATTGTATCAGAGCCCTGTCTCTCCCTCCTGCAAGTGAGGCAAGATTTGCTGCTGCCAGCTACTGCACGAAGGAGTGCCTGAAGTCCAGCCCTGACAAGACTGAGGTGATGCTAACAGGAAAGTAACTGTCAGTCTGGATACAATTTGAACCATTCTACATCTACCCATAACTCATTCCAGTGGGAAAATGAGGACCAGTGTGTTCGATCTCCATTAGTTTTGCAATTATGCTATGACAGTAGGTAGGAATGTTATTATAATTATTTGTTTCTCCAATACATCAAGATATGCTAAAATTGGATGTGGATTTTCCTACCATAAGCCTTTATCAACGTAAGGCTTAATTGCAATGGTGCATCTGAATAAAGAAGTGCCTTTAATCAGCATTCTTTAACTTCCAAAAAATTTATACCTCTCTTCAACATGTTCCAAAAGAATCAGACACAGAATTAAACAATGCAGAATTTGGTAACAGCTTGCTTCTTTTTCTTGCATGGTTTGAGGAACAGTGAAGTAAGTTCACAGTACTTTTTTTTAAAAAAAAAACCCTATATCCCTTTAATCTGATTAGTAACTACTAAGAACAACATTTCACAATTATTTTAGGGTCATGTACAATCAGAAAGATCTCACTGCACCAATTAATCTTCAACATGCAATCAATTTTTCTTTGCAACTCTAAACCTTACAGAAAAAATGACCCTCTGGTAAAACAACCACCCTGAATGCTCTCTGATTCGAGGCACTGTTCAGGAGAAGGTGGCAACCTGGGAAGCACATGGTCATAACCCGTCAGTCTGCTCCAGTGATGGGAGTGAGCAGTGTACAGCACCACCCTCTACTGTTTTCTAAACTGGACTCCAGTTGATCCCAAAATCAGCCTTTCCTGATGTTTTCCACAGATCATTCCTGATCCACGAAGCCATAGTCAGGAGCGTGCAGAGCAGCATTAACAGTGAGATTTATGAACACCTCTGTTCCCTCCCATTACGCCAGTGATCCATGAGACGTTATAAAGGCTGACAGCAGTTCCCTAATCCAAGAAGTTCAGGAAACACTACCCCAAATAATTTTAGTTCTTCCAAGTGGAGCAAGTCATCTCTCTTCTTGTACCAGTGATTTGATCAGCAAAGGTGTACAAGCTGAAACAAAACTCCGTTGGGGTTCAAACAGTTCTTCGCAACTAGCTTTCTGCTGTGCTATACAGCTCGTTAGTGGGGGGGTTGACAGAGGTTAGAAGAGTCTGGGAATTGGGGATAGCAGTAAATTAAAGTTTGGCAGTCAATTGATTTGAGTTCCCAACTAAACAGAGGTGTAAACAGCCATTTTATATATGTAACCCATAAGTACGTCAAGCTCTGGTAATTACTACAGAAATAGAAAATCAGAGACAAATGAGCAGGAATCTCTCCTCTTTCTTTCACTGTAATTCCCTCACAGTGAACTTCTGCTGCAAACAACACTTGGTGCATTAAGTCTTTTTAAAAGAAACCCTAAACCAGAAGAGTAATAAGGAAAAGGTCTATTCACCTATTTGGTTAGATTTTAAGCAAACTAGAATTGCTATTCCAGACTATTTTTTTTTTTAGTATATTAAGGGTAAGGAAGAAAGCCAGTTATTTGGAACAAACCATTGCAACATCAGGAACAGAAATGTTGTTTTTGTCAGAAACCTCTGAAGATTATGAGTGCAAAGAGAAAGTTGAAATGAAAATGTTTTCATTATCCTTTTAATTAGTGCCAACTGTACCTATAAGTGTATTTTGATGTCAGAAGCTGGCAATATAAAACATCTCAACTGTGAAATTATGCAGGGGGACAAAGCTTTCACGCATGCCCTGTGAAAATCTTAAATTTCTGCTTACCCCAGAAGTCAGGCTATAAAACCAACTGCTCCAGACCCTTTGCAGCACTATGTTATGGACTACTTAAACAGGGTAACTTCAGTTCTTTCCCTTTGTTCCTTTAGTTATACCACTTACATGGACAGAAGCTGGAGCTGAAAGAGTTTACAACTAGTGTGCACCTAGCACAACTGTACAGTATCTGTCCAAGAGTTCCCAATCTGGACCATGAAGCTATTCCCTGAATGTTTCAGTATCCTCTAAAAGACTCAGCAAAGCTGTGAGAGGCATAGTAAGACACCACAAAGACAGTGCAGATGAAACGCCACTCCCAAGCTTGTTCTGGTCCCCAAAGTAAAGGGGACAACATCAATACTCTAAGCAATAACAACACTTGCAATTACCCAAGACAGCTCTCTGTTAACTATCTTCCTACAGTGGAAGGCTGTACTGAAAGCACTACAAAAAGCATCAAACGAGAAAACCACCCCCGCCCTTTTGAAATATCAGAGACACTGCAAAACCTCTCCGCAAAGTGAAGGTTATGTTTCACTGCATTTATTGTACAAGTTTAATTTTTAATCATACATCATCTTTATTTCTACAGCAGCAGCATCCAAACTGGCATCTCGTTCTCATACAATTAGTTTCCAGCTCTTTACACCACATAGATCTCGTAGCATGTGGTGCTTATATGGACTGAAGTCAACAGAATAGTTATTCCTGAAGCTCAGAGGTCAAGAGAAGCCCTGGGGAATACTTACAGACAGCAGTAATTTATGTAGTCCTACACAATTTCTGTCTGTGACAACTGTAAGTGTAAAAGGTAGAAAAGAGAGGGGTTGACTCAACTGCTTTACACGTGAAGCCTGAACTGAAAAGCAGACTTGATCACGCTGTAATCAAGAGCAACCCCAGGGAATGGTCCAACCTTAAGGAGGTAAAGGCAACATAAATGTATACCCCCTTATTAACCAATTCTACCACCTCTAAACAAAAAACTGTTCGCAAGTTTGTTATTTCAGCTTCTCAAAGTACAGACTACAGAAACATTTTCAAGTTGGTCTTTAAACAAATTGAAAGTTTTCAAGCTCAGGGACCTGCCTTTCCCCAGCAGTACTCCCAGCCCCCAACAGCGCTCACAGCTGTTGCAGACAGAAATTGTGTACTCCCAGCCCACAACAGCGTAAGGAGACAACTCACAGGCAGCCAACTCATACTGGCTGGACTACAAAGTGCTCAGTAGAAGTATCATGTCTAGAACTGCTGCAAGTGCAGTAAGGTAACCACTTTAAGAGATGTCACCCCCGCCTTACCGTCACCTCTGCCTTACCATCACCTCCTCTCATTACATCCTCGAGATGTCACCCCCGCCTTACCGTCACCTCCTCTCATTACATCCTTGCACAAAGCCCAATCCCCAATACCAACTTTCTGACGTTATTTTCCACAACTTCCATTAAACTGCTTGACAAAGCTACAAAGCACACGTGCTACAAACACACAAAGCTGTATTTGCAAAACCTTTAGTTTTACACAAAGTTCAGGCTGCTCTATAGCTACGTCCATTTCCTCATCTCTCTTTTATTTATACGAATTCATTATACCAGACTAGCACATTAAAGTCTGTTCAGAAATGACTGCACAAGTGTTTGGAGAGGTGAACATGTAGTCTCTATTAGCAACGTAAGGCTCTCCGCCTGTATCTGGCGGGGAAACACCGAAGTTATAATCTCATGCCTCATTACACCCTTGTTCCCAGAGACAACTAAAGGTACTGAGAAATCCGTGAAAGTGGTTTATATACTTATGAAAAAAGTTATCGCACACAAGTCCTCCACAACAAAAAAGTATAATGAGAACAGCACATTTCCAACACAGTCTCAGACACCCTGTATATGCGCAAACTTTAGTCCTGGCCATAAACTTTTCTTCGTACTGAATAAAAGCCAGGTACGCTCAAGGTAGGGGACCTTCCTGGCGGAGGAGCAGCCAGCAGCAGCACCCATAGCTCTTCCCACCCCCAGTCCCTCAGTCTCCCAACAGCCGAGGGAACCGCAGGAAGGAAACA